GAATAGGAGAACAGAATAATTTTCATTGTATAAAAAAAATTAAAAAAATGATGTTTGCGTAGAGGACAATATTGTAAATTAATATATTTTATTAATTAAGACTATATACCATGTGTTTTGGAAAAGCGCATTTTCAAAAAGTTAAATAATCATTTCGTTTTTCTTTAGTCTTCTGTTTTAGCCAGATCATACAGATCTGGAGTAGTTCTTTGTGGTTTATGTTTCAGGTAGAATACAGGGATAATTTTGGTCTTGTTTACATAAAGGAGAAAAAGATACCTGAATTGATAAAATTTAAAAAGGTTTTTTAGTGTAAAATTTAATGTAGAGTAAATAAGGTAAATATTTTCGAAGTTTTCTTTATTTAACGATTTAATATTTAATCATCTGAATGCCCGAAAAGCTCAAGAGACCATTCCTTCTTTCTTTTTAAGGATGAAGTTGGGGTTGTTTCCCGTGGACCGGGATAATCTCCGAAGGGACGGACTTGTCCTTTTTAGCAAGCTCATTCGCACAAAAAACGTAGAAAACCTTCAAGAGCAAGCGGTTTCTTCAAGAGGAGGAGACGACCGGAAGCAGAAACTCACGGTGCGTATTAATTAAACACATTAAATACACATTGGTGATTTCTAAGAATAAAGGTAGAGACAATTCCCCAATTTACACGTCACAAAGTTCCTAATATAGTTACAGCGACTAAAAAGGTTTTGTATCAAAAGAGAAAAGAAAAACAGAAATAGAATCGGTTTTTTTTTTCTTTAGTTTAATGCATGTGACGCAGCCTTACTTTTAAATTACTTTGGCATTAAGTAAAGAGAATTTCTTGATTAAATAATTGAGGATCACGACAATTTACGAAACGCGATATCCTGAAATCATCGAATGACTCAGAAATAACGTACAATTTCCTAAATTAATGTCTATTTCCTCTTTTAACTACATATATACGAGGGTGGATTGATAAGTTTCCGGCCTGACCAAGAAAAACAAGGTTTTTAAAAATTTTTTTTTTTTATTTCTCAACATAATCTCCTCCAAGGCTGATACATTTCTCATAGCGGTGTTCCAGTCTATTAATGCCATCTCTATAGACTGATTCGTCAAGCTCCTCAAAATAACCATTTACAGCTTCGATTACTTCTTCATTGTCCGCAAATCTCT